GAAATCTATTGCAGATTTATCACCCAGTTAGTACCTTTACAGCTACCTAAATTGCTAATTAAATTAAATTTTTAATGCTAATTATTTAAATTTTATTGTTTTATTTTCCATTAAGTAAAAACGGCGACAAATCAAGCGATACACAAAGGCACTCTACCACGTTATTAGAGGCTAAATCCGCATGCTTTTGGGAAGTTTGATTTGTCACAGTTTGTTTGTACCAGTTCAGAGAGAGAAAGAATGTAGTAACTATCTAACTCCTTTATTACGAATACAACGTGGGAAAAAGATTGATACGTCGTCGTTACCTAGCGCTTAGCAATTAATAAATTTAAAAGTTTAAATTTAATTTTGTTTAGAAACTGATTAGGCTGGTAGGGTGTTATGACGAAAAATAAATTAAATGACTATGTTCTTGTGAAAAATCTCAATAATATTGTACCATTCCTGATTCTGCATTAAGTGGAGCAATTTTTAAGATCATTTGCAAATTCAGTTTCATACATTTTTTTTTCACACTAGCTATTCAAAGTTAACGTTTAGCTTTTTACAAGGGTACTAGGTATACCAAATTAATACCTTTTTTCGCATTTTATGACATTTGTCAGATAAAATATTAGTTGCAGTACCTGGAAAAACTATTCAGGTTACCTGAAAAATAAAAACAACTACCATGTGGAGCTAACCCTGGCAATAGTAGCAAAAAACTCAACAAAAAGTAGAGTTATTCCAAAAAAATAAAAAAGTGCAAATATCTCGAAAACTAAAAGACTTTTACTAAGGTCAAATTATTTTTTTCTGGTAGGTATATAGCTCACCTACTCACAGTGTCGCTCTGGCGTGTTATTTTTGGGACATCTGTACAATTATGCGAACTATTGTGAACAGTAATTTAAAAAAGTGGTAATTTTCTGGGGTTTTGTTAACTTTTTTCTTAAGTATAGATAGCTTATAGCAAAAACAAGATTATAACAAAATTTCGCTTTGGTGACTGCGATTTATTTTCTGTTGTTTTGTTTATAACCTTGAATTTTTTATTCATATTCGCTTTAGATTACGATAAGAACCCCTTGTGTAAATGTTATGTTTATTTTATAACACGGCGTAACGGAATGGAAGCGAATTTTTGTAACGATATTGTAATAGCGTAATGAACTTTACGATCAATTGTTAACGTATGTACAAACTAGATACGAGCCAAAAATTACGTTACGCGTCTTCCTCGGAATTCTTGCGGAATTCCGCTGCTGCCGTCACTCGCCGACGTCTGGCGAATCCGCGGGAAGAGGTGCGAAGGCAGGCGCGTCTGAATGTGACGTCAAATGTCGCTGAAATACTACAGCCTCGAGGCGCAGTCGCGATAAATCTCGCTAATGATCGTTGCTCGAGCATTCTAGCGAGTGCGCACCTTCTCGCGCAGCAAAGCGAAATTGACGCTTCCGTTCCATCCCGTTCCGTGCCGCAATGTAAATTGAGCTTTAGCGTTTGTTACAAATGAAAAGTTTTTTATAAAATGTAGCTTTTATACCTAATTAATACTTGTCACAATGTAATAGATCCGCTTTGACACTTGTCTTCGGAACGTAATTGAGATATGAAATAATAAATAGTTGAGTCGCAAGAAAAAGACAAAACTGTGTCCTTTATTCCAACCGTGATCAAAATCGAGTTTTTGAAATTTGATTAGTCAGTTAAAAATTCACCATTTAGTCGGTTCTAGTCGCAAAAAACTAGATTTAGTCAGTCCGTTGTTTCAAAGTTATAAGGGCTTTTGCTGTCTACGCTGGAAGAAGCTTACTCTGGCGACACCATTTTTCAATCTCAAGTAGGGGGAAGCGAGGCAGTTTGATACAGAGGACACATTCATACACCTGCATCACCTCCATACCCTCAAACATAATATTAGTTGTTATAATACTAAGCGCGGGAATACACGTCCGATTTCGTGTCTGATGGTCGGATCCGACTATCGGATCGGATTCACTCAATACACGTCTTACAGTCGTCAGTCTGAACTGCAGTGCTGCAAATTTATGGGGAATTCCCCAAATTGAGGAATTTCAACTCAACAACTAGTTTGGGGATTTTGATTGGCTGCCTCCGTGGTCTTGCTGTGGTGGCTTGTACACCGGTTTTCATGGTGTCGCCATCTCTGTGGTCCCGGGTTCGATCCCCGGCCGGGTCAGTGTAGAACTAACTTTTCTATATTGTCTCGAGTCTGGGTGTTTGTGGTACCGTCGTTGTTTCCGATTACCATAACACAAGTGCTTTGGCCGCTTACTTTGGGCACACCCCGGACACTCCATACAACGGTCGTAAATTATGTACCTACTACTACTACCGGCCCCGTGGGTTCCTCTTAGCTTCACCGTGGGATGAAATCGACTACGGCTACTAGAGCCCCCCGCCACGACAAGGCGGGAACACGTTCGGGGGGTCTAACCCACCTCCTGACCCAACACCTAACCCACGCCCTAACTCACCCCCTAACCCACGTATGCCCTATAGATTTATTATAATTGTCAGTTTTAATTGTTAATCAAAAAGATTGAAAATTGATGAATTGTTAATTGCAGATATACGCGATTAACGATTGATCAATTGTTAGTTGCGACAACCAGAATTAATTAATTACCCCAATTAACAATTAATTAATTGTTAATTGCGGTTCTCGCAACTAACAATTGATCAATCGTCAATTGCTGTTTCGCAATTGACAATTAATTAATTGTCAATCTTTAATTGCCAGAACAATTAAATTTTGCCTAACACTGCTATTACATTACGTGGTCAGAGTGGCAACATAGCGAAAATTCTAACGTGAATCTGTTATCTATAATTCTATTATAGAATCCTAATAATTATACATCTCCTAAGTCGGATCAGACTATCGGATTAAAAAATCGGACGTGTATTCCCGCACTAAAACGTGCCTTTGTACGTGTGTGTAATAGAAATGCGATGATGCAGCTCACCAGTTGGATGTTGTCGTCCGACAGGTCACGAAGTGTTTTCACAGCAGTTGACTAAAAAAATAAGCGACACAAATACGAGTACCACTGTAGTTTTGTTCACTTTACAGGGTTTTATGTTTTAATACAAGGTAAACTAGTGTTTCCAATAACTAGAATTGCATGTGACTTTGAGAGAATATATAAATATTTTATTTAAATAAATATTTTTTTCTAAACTGGCCGGTGGGGTACTTTTATACACTAGTGCAGCCTTTCCCAAAGTGAGCGATAACGCCCCCTTGTGGGCGCTGTAGGCCTAAAGGGTAAGAGACCCAGAAAGAGCTCTCGACTCTCGACTACAACTTGCGAACATCACTCGCAGAGCGCTCACTGCGGTGACGCATCAAGTGCGCATGCACCGAACAGAATAGCTGTTTCGCCTTCGTTGACACAGACTGCGCCTAAGTACTGAGACATTGTCGTTAACTCTCGACTACGACAGAATGCGTCTAGCAAGCGGCCTGACTGATGAAATTGATGATAATTTCAGTTGTGTAGCCACCTCATCAGTGGACTTATCCTGCGGAGTTCTCAGATGTAGGCAATATTTTGGAGGAACGTGATGTTCCCAATCGTGACCAAAAAGACTGTGATAATGACAGACTTTTAGTAATAAAAGTGTCTGTGCCCGGTTGTGATTTTTTAGTTTTTAGTATTTCCATGCTCGTTGCCGTGTACGATAACCTCATGTAATTTACTAACTGTCTGGGAAACGTTAGCTCTATCATAGAGGAGTGCGACTTGCAGTTAGCGTATATTCTAGGAGACTTTAATGCACACCCTGGAGCGTGGTTCGGTCATGAACTCTTACGCTACTGCGCTGACCAGCTATGGTTGTGTGCCGACATTGATTTACTCGGAGAGGATAGTTATACATATATTAGCGAGTCCCACAGATGTCGTCGTTGGTGGGTGGACCACTGTGTGACCACTGTTGCCGCTCGGGATACTATCATATTCGCAAAGGTGATAGAGGACACATTGACCTCTGATCACTTGCCTCTAGTAATTAAATGTAATATTGGAGGAGTTAAGGGTTGTGGGACCGCCGACGCACCTAAAACGGATTATTTTTATCGCAAATGTATTGTGGGGCGTACGTGATGATGCACAAATATCTGTTTACTACGGACACTGTATGTCGGGATTAAAGAGTATGATAGAAAAATATAATAAAAACTGTGATATTTATTGTTATTTTAATAAGGACCTTTAATGTGCGAATAATCATGTTGTACAAATTGACGATTTATATAATGAAATAATTAATATATTACAAACAGGCGCTGTCAAGTCGACCGTTTCGCGTTCCGGTGGACAAAACAAACGTATTAAGGTAGTTGGCTGGAACTATCACGTAAGGATGAGTCATGAGCGGACTAGGCTGCATTTTCGGATGTGGGTACTCCATGGCAGCCCGGCATCGGGAGTCGTCTTTGACGTCATGCGCTCAAGTCGCAATACTTTTAAAAATAAGCTTAAATGGTGCCTGAAAAATGAAGAACCTATCAAAATAGATATACTTGCCACAGCGAGAAGAAGCAATAATTTTTCAGAATTTTGGAAGTTCACCAAAAAGTTAAATATAAAAAAAACTGCCTGTTTCTGTGAACAGCGTACAAGATGCCAGGTCCATAGCTGAAATGTTCGCTCGATGATTCAGGGTTGCCCCGGAACCTGCGGAGGATGTGTTCGATCCAGAGCCACTATGTACCGGATCTTTATCGATTCTTTATTCTGATTAGATATGAAGCGCGGTAAGAGTCCCGGACATGATCGGTTAAGATTGAACATATTCTCTATCTCTATGCCGGTCCTTTGATTGGTGATGGACTTGCCCATCTGTTTAACTTGTGTATCAGGTACACTTACTTGCCTGATGCACTTACGGAGACTGTGGTTGTGCCTATCATCAAGAACAGGACGGGCAATCTTGGAA